CGAATGGTATATAGGTTGCTGGGCGAAAAAACGGACCAGTTTTCAAAAATGGGGTGGAGATATTTACTATTAGCTTGCTCCAATCCGGCTCCACCAATGTATTGGCTTTTATCGGTTACCGGAGAAAATGATTTTTAGAGCCGGGAAGCAAAGAAGCCCTAACATGCTGTATACCATTCGAAAGCTGAGATCATGGAGAATCGACGTAGACCGTCGACTTTTTTCTAGGTCTTCTGTGCCGCGAGATATGAGGGATTTTATGTGCTTCAAAAATTAACTGATTTTGTGTCCTCACTTTCTGCTCTCCAAAATGCTACGAGGATAAATAAATAATATAAATAAACATAAATACCGTTTCTTTAGTAAATTTATGAGTGTACTTGTTGTTTGAGGTACTTAGCCTGCTTTTCATAACGATTTTTATCATATTCTCAGAGTACGATACCAATCTCAGCCCAGGTGAAGGGGGTCATCGGGAGTTTGGCCTCAAAGTGAAGGGGGTAAGATCCATCACTCCCCCTATCGCAACTATGGGGAGGATAGAACGGACGAACGGAGCTATCTTTCTAGGTCTAACGTCGACCCAACGGCCCTCTTTAGGGCCACAGATACGATGAATATTAAAAATATCTATAAATTTTATTTATAAAAATTTAAAATAGACGTGTTTAGTAAATGGTGTATTTGGAAGTAGAAGTTTGTTGGACTGTACGGATTTTATTAAGCAAATTTTGTTATAACGTACAGCGAAGAAAGTAGATCGATCCAGGCAGTAACGGCCGAGAATCAGAATTTCGAATAAATAAATAGTGAAAAATCATGCAAAATTTCCACTGTTATAAATCTGTTGTTTGAAGATGTCAGCAGTTGCGACTTCATAGGTTTTAAAGAGTAACTGTTGCTCTATCAGCTAGTGAAGGAATCTGGTCGATTTAAGAGATAGTCGTTAAAAACCAGAGTTCTAAAACTTTACGCCATTTTTGCGTGTTTTTTGACTGTTGAGAGTTAAACTCTTATAAATCTTGAATGTGGAAGTGTATGATGTTGCGACTTCATAGGTTTTATAGAGTAAGGTTTGCCTTATCAGAATATGTCTTGTCCGTTCCGATCCATTGAAACACCTCCGAGATTCAGAGTCATGAAAAAGCAGGTAAAAAAGAGCTTTTTGAACTTCAACAGCTCATAACTTCTTCAGGATTGCACGAATCATGTTGCGACTTCATAGGTTAGATTCTTCTCGTCAAGAGCTTTCAGATGATATATAATATGTGGGGGTTTCGCGCCTCTTACGGCATATGCCCGGGGGGGGGAGACTTTTTAGGCCAAAGTCTCCCCCGGCAGCCTCCAGCCAATACATTAAAATGGGCGAGGGGGAGACTTTGGCCTAAAAAGTCTCCCCCCCCCCCCGGGCATATGCCGTAAGAGGCGCGAAACCCCCACATATTATATATCATCTGAAAGCTCTTGACGAGAAGAATCTAACCTATGAAGTCGCAACATGATTCGTGCAATCCTGAAGAAGTTATGAGCTGTTGAAGTTCAAAAAGCTCTTTTTTACCTGCTTTTTCATGACTCTGGATCTCGGAGGTGTTTCAATGGATCGGAACGGACAAGACATATTCTGATAATGCAAACCTTACTCTATAAAACCTATGAAGTCGCAACATCACACACTTCCACATTCAAGATTTATAAGAGTTTAACTCTCAACAGTCAAAAAACACGCAAAAATGGCGTAAAGTTTTAGAACTCTGGTTTTTAACGACTATCTCTTAAATCGACCAGATTCCTTCACTAGCTGATAGAGCAACATTTACTCTTTGAAACCTGTGAAGTCGCAACTGCTGACATCTTCAAACAACAGATTTATAACAGTGGAAATTTTGCATGATTTTTCACTATTTATTTATTCGAAATTCTGATTCTCGGCCGTTACTGCCTGGATCGATCTACTTTCTTCGCTGTACGTTATAACAAAATTTGCTTAATAAAATCCGTACAGTCCAACAAACTTCCACTTCCAAATACACCATTTACTAAACACGTCTATTTTAAATTTTTATAAATAAAATTTATAGATATTTTTAATATTCATCGTATCTGTGGCCCTAAAGAGGGCCGTTGGGTCGACGTTAGACCTAGAAAGATAGCTCCGTTCGTCCGTTCTATCCTCCCCCCGCACCTCCCCCCCCCCCCGTCGACGTTTTTGGGAGGTGAGTGTCCGACGCTACCACCTTCACTTTTGGCCGGCCAGTGGTAGCTGAAACCACCTTCACTTTTGGGGGACCCGGCTCCCCCTATCGCACCTCTGCACAGGACTTTTCGGAAGACCGCTCGCTGAGTCAGCGGATTTTTGAGAGACCGCCTGTTGAATTTTTTTCGCTCTTATCTTTTGCAGATATATTGCTGAATCTCTGAGGAATCAAGAACTCAACAAGCGGTCTTCCGAAAAGTCCTGATTGCTTTCCAAAAAATCCGCGAGCGGGGTGCGAGAGATCAGCAATCTATTTTTCGGTGCCCTCCTGCCCCCCGCGATTGTCTAAGTAGTCAGTCAGTGGACGGATCCGAATTCGAACAAGAGCAGGCCAGTGGCGGCAAAGCGCGACATTCTACGAGATTGCGAGATGTTCTTATTGAGTATGCCCTTAAGCCAGTGGCGGTCGCAGTTTCGGACCGGGGGGGGGGGAGACAAAAATTTTTTAGATGAAGGTGCATGGCATTAGCCACTCCGAAAAAAATTTTGGGGTGCTTCTCAAAAGTTTTGGGGGGCCGAAAAAAAAATTTATAAGACTAATTTGAAATTTTAAAAAATTTTAAAAAATGTTTTAATTATTTACAAAAGTAAACAAGTCGTTTGCACATTTTTACAACCCATATAGGTAAGTTTCAAAAATTTCGCGACCCATTCTCGGGGGGGGGGGGGGCCCTCGGACCGCCACTGCTCGAAGCCCTCTTTGTGCACGCATTACCGATGCTCCATCCGTGGCTACCGCAACAAGATTCCAAACAGACTCGTTGAGCAACCCTGTTTTTCGAGAGTACGCATAAATCGTCTCGAAAATGTGTTTACCCGTTCTCAGGTTCCAACAGTTGGAGCGCTTCAAGGAAGTGGGTTTTGAGATGCAACGTAGTTTGATCCGGAAAGCGCACAAAGAGTAAAAAGATTTGCTTGCTATCAAGATCCGTGGATGTATCTACTAAAAGTGAGAATGAAGATTGGTTTTTTTCTTAGGTAGTCGATCAAAGTGTCTTTCATCTTTTTGCTTATATAACCAGTCATTAGACGCGTTCGCACGTTCCCGTTGGTGCTGATAACAACGTCAATCCACAGCACATCTTTTACTATTGGCTTGCTCCACCTCGCTCTTACAGTGTGTTGGCTTCCATGGGTCACCGGAGGAAACGTTTTTAAAGCCGAAAAGCGAAAAAGCCCCAACATGCTTTACACCTTTCGAAAGCTGAGGTCATGTAGAATCGACGTAGACCGTCGGCTTTTTTCTAGGTCTTCTGTGCCGCGAGAAATGAGGGATTTTATGTACTTCAAAAATGAACTGATTTTTTGTCCTCACTTTCTGCTCTCCAAATGAATGCTGCGAGAAAGTCGACGGTCTACGCTTGTTAATGAAGACTTGCTCTGTAACATAGATAGACAATCAGCGTTAATTCGGTCTTCGTTTGGCAGAAATCTCCTGTTGAAAATGGACATTTCTCAGATATAATGCGGTGTATTTCTCGGTAGAGAGGGGCTAAAAAGAGGTCGATGGTCTGGGTCGAATCCCCTTTTCCTAAGCTTTCTAATGGTATATGAGTTGCTGGGCGAAAAACCTTATCCGCTTTCAAAAATGGGGTGGAGTATTTACTATTAGCTTGCTCCACCCAGCTCCACCATGATTGGCTTTTATCGGTCACCGGAGCAAGTGCTTTTTAGAGCCGGGAAGCAAAAAAGAACTTACATGCTTTATACCATTCGAAAGCTGAGATCATGGAGAATCGACGTTGACCATCGGCTTTTTTATAGGTCTTCTGTGCCGTGAGATATGCGAGATTTTATGTACTTCAAAAATCAAGTGATTTTTTGTCCTCACTTTCTGCTCTCCAAATGAATGCTACGAGGATAAATAAATAATATGAATAAACATAAATACCGTTTCCTTTGTAAATTTATGAGTGTACTTGTTGTTTGAGGCTTGGCCTGCAAAAGCTTTTAATAACGATTTTTATCTCTCAGAGTACAATACCACAGCCCAGGTGAAGGGCTATCACTCCCTCTATCGCAACTATGCTTCGAGCCGACTGATGACTATTCGTCATCAGCGGCTCGAATAACCTTCATATACCGAGTTTGAGCAAGATCCATCACAAAAACATTTTGGGGCCCGGATAGCCGAATAGCGCCATTAGTTTTTAGAATTATCCTTACTTTTACCATTGATTTTTTTTGCAAAGTTTGAGCTATGGGGCTGGGGGTTGGTGAGAGAGGTAGGTGAGCATCTGATTATAACAAATAGGGAATTGTATGTAGAAGTGTGCACAAGGAAAGGTTGTACATTGATAGGGATGGAACCTTTATCGTTTCTGACAAGGCCGGGCGGAGCCGAGTAAGTCAGCAAGTTACCCTAATTTCACGCGTACAAGGCGCGGGGGAATTTTTTTTTTGAAAATCCACCAGCCCAAACACGGCAAAGGACTTCGCGTACCAAAAACTATATACAGCGCTGTACATTGCCTGAGAGTATCGTGCGGCATAGTCTCGTTTTCCGAAACAAAACGAGGCGGCTGAGCGGCACGTTTGAAAAATCGAAAAAGGTGCGCCTTGTACGCGTGAAATTCGGGTAATTATATATATGAGCCTTTCTAGAGCTGTGCTGCCAAGGTCATATTCAACTGCTAGAGGCACAGTAAACTGTTATGAAGGCTATCCTACGATGCTCCATAGTGAATAATTATTACATTTTTTAGACAAAGAAGCAGAGGTGAAGTAATGTTGTTCGCTGCAAAGACCTCTAGAAGAAATCATTTAATGCAGTTATTAAACATCAATTCAATGTGAATTTTGCAGTTGACTTGAACATTACAAATTATATTCACAAGAAAGAAGATTTATATAAATAGAGGGAAGATATCCCAGGATATAGCGAAGAATATTTCTTACAGAATCTATTAATGTACGTAGGGGCATTACAGATTAGCCTCAAAGTAGCAAGCAAGTGATATATGAGGAGCACGATCCCGAAAAGTTGAATGAAGGAACGAACACTGACAAACCTTGCCGCATTCACCTACTCCAATGCCCTTTACAAACAGAACAGTAGACTTTGCAAATAGTTTATCTGACCTAAACGGATTCAGAAACGCATACGCGATGTTCTCAACAGACTAAAGGCAGAAATTGACAGAACGACACATTTCTACCCTTCCCAAACTGCGTGCGTAAGCCATCAGAGAGTGAACGCATTTCAAAAGACATCTCCTCTTTGAGAAACGAGGGTTATTAATATCACAAGTATAATTGAAACTCGGTTATTCGCGAAAAAATCCAGGTCTGCGAAATGAATGTAAAACACACATCACGACAAATAGCCACATTGTACCTCAAAAGAAGAACAAGTAGCGATAAAACAATAGAAAACTGGCCTGATTAAGCTACATAAATACAAAGAGTTCGATCAACAATACATAGGACTAACGAGTAGAAGAGGGCATAAACATGATCACAAGGCTATTTTTATCATTGAAAACATGAAACTAGTTAATTTCGAGCTAGAACATTTCAAAACCCAATGTTGTAAAAACGCAGCATGAAACTCCTAGCACCGAAATAAATAACAGAGAACGCTGGAATATCAAAGCTGAGGAGAAACGAAATTTCAGAACACACCCACCGATACATGACTGCCTTTCATAATGTTCACATATGAACGAAAGAAAAAATGAACAAAAGGCGGACGATGAGAAACTGCGACAGTACCGGATCTTCGGACTCAGTGAAAGGATGATCCGAGGAACCTCCGCATATGTTTATAAATTGAGCTCTTGCGCAATCCTGGACGCGATATTCTTGAATCCTATAGAAGTTCCCGAAATTCGTTTGAAACGAACTCCATTCAGACTTAGGCGTGGAAGTTTGCAGACCTGAAGATTCTTCTATGAATAAGCACAAGGGGCACATAACGAAAGTAGAGCGTGAAGCAATTCAAACGAACCTCCATCTCCCATTGCACAAGAGAATCAGCATTGGGATCACCGTGAACACACAGGATTAAGTACCGTTCACGTTGTTCGTAATCGCAACCATTCGCATCGAGAACTTTACGGATTTCCCTAGAAAACGCGAGATGTGGTGTAAACGACAGAAGCGTAAAAATGAAAGTTCTTCTATCGAAAACTACTAAAAAAGAGTGAAGAAAATGAACCAACTTCATCATGTCATCCGGAGCAAGGCTGCTGGTCGTCTTCATACTCCACGTGAATCTCAGGCTCCGAGGCTTAATATCTTCCTCTCTGCCCGATGGTGGAGTAGCCGTACCAGTCGGCGCGATAGCATGCCCTTCACGGATCTGCGTTAGAGCTCCCGTTACAGGCGTTCCGCCGCTACATCCCACTGTTCCACCTCGCGACGGTGGCTGTCCAATAGGCGGTGGTGCAGCTCCATCATGTGGTCCCCTACGAACAGCCGAATAAGGCGGTGGCAAGCCTGATCCACTCTCGTAATGGTGTCCTCCAGTGACCACTGACGGGCTGTAATCCGAGGAACGATGGCGGTGAGTGGACGAATCAGGTGGCGACCCCGTCATTGACACCGAATGGTGCAATGAACGACGGGGAAGTACCGAAGTGACATGCGAGGCCACATTAGCTACAGCTGCTGGCGATGCCGTACTGCTACTGGAACAGGGAGGGGTTCATGCGGGACTCTGAGGATGTTGTTGGGTTGCGTGGTGTGATATGAGGTACAAAGGACATTTCAGTATGTAGGCTTATCTGCTCTAGTCGTACATGAATGTGCGAAAGGGTTAATACGGAGTGAGACTGTGAAAGTGCAAAACTTACAAAGACAGTAAAATTTGTTCGAGAGAAATAAAGCAGTACTACAACCGCGGTTGTTGATTCGTTGATGAAATCTGTGGGGTTACGAAAAATATGATTCACTTGCAAACTTTCGCACACTCACGAATGACGTTTATAACGCGGCCGCTGCATGAAGTCTCCCCTGCCTGAGAATTCCTAGAATCTCATAGAAAACCTGCGCAACCGATGGACATTAAGCAAGCTTTGCAATATTAAAGCGCCGCTAGTAAGTATTGACAGATACATATAGTGCTTCTATACTTTCAACGCTAATTTCAAGCAATTTCTGCAGTGGTTTGGCCAGTTAACAGAAAAAGGGTGATGACTCTAGACTTTACAGCTTATAACCTTTGGACACCGCCACCATCGTTCCACGTCCGTCACTGACCATGAGGACACCAAGTTATGTTATAATGTCAACTAAAACAACTAAAAGATAACTTGTGCACTGATCACATTTAGATTAATGCTTTACTTCACAAAAATTCAACATATATACTCAAGCACACTGAACTGAGTGAAACATTAAAAGCTTGATGATGTTAGCGAGAACACATGTTAGTTTAGAGAATTAGAGTTCAACGAAGATGAAAGCAGCTCAAGCGACAAAACACCTAAGCCAAATGAATCAGACTACGTGTTAGCTATGCAACAAAGAGACAAACCCGTACTTCCCACGAAATAATTATCAACTTTTGCACGCTAACCCATGAAATATTATTTGTCTATGGTGAAAAAGCAATCAACCATGAAGCATGCAAGCAAAACATGCCATAAAAACCTACCGTCTTGTCAGTTTTGTCAACTTTGAAAGGAAAAATCCTCCTTTCTGACCATTGCCAATCGACTGTCCAGCTGGGGCTTGCTCACCCTCGGACTCTTCCTCATCGCCATTCACCTTAACTTATATTTTTGAGCACAAAATCTTCCTGACCATCTGAATTTAACAACAGATGCGTGGAGGTATAAGGGTAAAATTTTAAGCCGGCAAAGGGGAAGATATCTTTGAGTTTAGCCCTAAGGAAAAATAATAACAATGGTGAGAACCAAAAACAGCGCTATGGGAAACAAATTTGTGAAATTGAACGAAGCCTAAAAACACTTCACTGGGTTGCGCCAATGCTTCGTACTTGAGCGATAGAAAAACAAAGTGTCTATGAAATAACGAGGGTAAACACGCTTGAAAAAGGAGTAGAATGGTTGACAGATGATATACAAAGATGAGGGAAGACTCGCGATACCAGCAATTTGCACATTCGGTTTAGACTATACTTTCGTAGCTACTACTCGAAACATGAACATCAGAGTGATAAGGGAAGATTTGAAGCCTACACATGCTTTTCTCAAGCTGTTTACCTTATTGTAGTCGGTTTTTCCATGAAATGTCTGTCGATTTCGTGTGTTACGAGGAAACGCTGTTGCATTTGCAGCATTGACTGTTGTAGTGACCGCAGCGTTCGGTCGCTGCTCGGGCGTCACTGAAGATTGAACAGCGGGCGTGGGCGCATAAGTCTAAATACGACACATACACCACGGTAGGGGTTAACTACACACACTATCGTTAGCATATATGTGTAGCCCTGCCCTGCTTTAGATAAGTTTGTTTCTCTGGATTTTAACGCCTTCACAATACTTGAACTAGGAATATGAGCATCGCGAGTCGGGAAACTCAAGAGAAAATCAGGAATCTAACAGCCCTTCCGGGACAAAAAGTATAAGATAGGTGGCCAGAAGATACTAACGATAGTGTGATGGATTCCACGTATCCAAGTGGAAACAATCACTTTTCTAGACCCAGCACAAAGCGCGCAACCCACAACAGGAAAAGCAAGACAATGCACTTTTGATGATGTTGTCATAAGAAGCTGCTTATCGATATACCGCCTATTCACAAACCAGTTTGCATGTGGTATCTATGATCATTTCTGATAAATACAATCACATTCATAGTGGATCCTAGACTTGTTCCTCAACAATCAAGAGCTCTAAAGTTCCCCAAAACAGCGAGAAAGATTATACTCATTCTCCCCCCTAACATGAGTGCAACGAGTTCACATGAAACACTGAAGATTCATATACGAACAGCAGCCACTACTCCCAAAGCGCACCGTTGTACCAATCAGGACAGAAGAGGAAAATGAACGGGAAGCAAACAAAAAGCAGAATTTTTCATGCATTCACTAATGATGCTAAACTTACAACACTCATAAAGGCCCTTCCACGAAAGCCAGGTTTCTTCACGTACTAGAAGAATTTTTCTCATCCAGAAAAATGATAAAGAGAAGTGTCTCAATAGAAGAAGAGAAACAACAGTACCAAGCAGAGGTAGTGACTTAGGTAATTTTATAGTTTCCGATATATGATCACTTAAACATTTTGATTCAACGCACCTGGGAGGGAGAAGAAGTAGGAGGAGCGGCGGCGGCAGTTGAAGATGGAGGTGGAGTGGCTATGAGAGGGTTACCGGTAGCTGACTTCGTCATTTTCGGGGAGTCCCGGTCTCCAGGGGTGGTCGAAGTGGCACCCCGTACAGTCAGCTCTCCCATAGCTTTGAGTATCGTTGGGGGCATCGAAGGACTTTGGTGGATCAGCGACGGCCTAGAATTATATTAGAAATCCAAACTGAAAGGAAATCAAAAAATGGGTTGTTGCCGCCCTAAATTTGGCTCATAGTAAGTTCTCATACAATTTTGTGGGCTCAAAATTGATCTGAGCTACTGTGACTTGCTTGCTTGATTTTAACAGGTGCCTATAAAGATAAAATACCAAAACTGTTATGCTTCCGACCGCAAAAAAAATATTTCCACAGAACTCCACTTACAAGCTTGTCTCATACAAAAATACGCGAAAAATCATTGCAACCGATGCGACCATACAAAGTAATGCGAGTATGACTGAAGGTCAGATACGAAACAACCAAACCATTCCAAACCATGCACCCCAGCCACGAACAACAATGGGCACGACATAAAGGAAAAACTTGTAGGGGAAAATATAAAGTTTATGCACCATTCGAAACGAGATGGTCCGTTTGAAGTATGGTGAGTTAGTGCCAGATACCAAGATGCTTTCAGTGGCTGATCGATCGCGAGCTTCTTGCACCACATCGACATTGCGCGTAGTAGCGCAGCGGTGCGTTAAGGATGGTTTCTCCTTAGAGATGCGGAGGTTAGTAAGTACTGCAAGTTCGGGGACGATCGTTGGTTCGACGATGGTGGTCCTCATATGGCGGCGTCTCCGGTGCATGCTGTTAACAAAGTAGAACTCAGGAAACACGGTGACAAATGACAATGAAGCAAGGAAAGTAGATAAAATATGAGAGCAAACTCCGTTGACAACACTGTGCAATGGCCGGTGAATGGATAAGGAGATGCAATTCTCTCGCGCAAAAACATAGTTCCTTCTCCCCTGGTGAAAATGCCAGATGGCTTTCCTGTTTTCTTTTCATTCTAATTTGCTTTCTTCGATGTTCACTCTGAATAACAAAAAGCGCCATTCCTTAACGCATAGTAGGCAAACTGCTACGCTAGATGAACTTTCTAACGTCAAGTTTGAATTCAACTCATAATCAAGCTCCTTAATCAAAATCTACAATCGAATCTTTGTTTTGTTCTGAGGTATAGCACCATTAGAGAAAGTTGGCCTGCGAACTTTGGTCTAAAAACCTTACAAATAAATTTTCTGACAGCCTTCGAAGAAATTAATCGCTGAATACCAAAAAATCCCAAAAAGAACATTCAGCAAATTTTGTGAAAGCAGCCTCTCATAGCACAGAAAGCGGCAAGTGGACAGAACGGACCAAATGCAAGTAGTTTAGTTCATGCAAAGTTACACGTGGTCCAATATGTTGAAATAGAAGTAGAAACACTCATAACACGATAAACAATCGTTGAGCAATTTCAGCTTATGATGCAAACCAAAAAACTAACTTATGCTCTCTTTCCGGCGTAACAGATACCGATGTCTTCATTTCAGGAGCGACTTCCTCAGCTGGTGGGAGCGGGCTCTAGAAAAAAATGAATTATAGTGTGGTAGAGTACAAGACAAAAAAGATGCTTTACCTGTGCTACAGGGGCACCTCCGATAATCGGTAAATGCGTAATTGTAGTAACACCGTTGGCACCACCACCAGACGATTCGCTGCTCTCATCTTCATCCTCCTTGATGACTGGTTCCGTTGGTGCATGCGAAATTTGAGAACCAGACTTCTAAAATTTGCGAACACTTAGAACAACCCGAATAGTGGGAAAAAGGCTTCTACAATTTGCAAACACTTGGACGGTTCCAAGTAGTGGGACAAAAAAGTATCTAAAACAAACCTGCAAAGGAATCGGAATTTGTGCAATAGCAGCTGGTGTTTTTAGTTGAGGTGAAGCGTTTGGACCCACACCGGAGTTGTTGGTATTCACAGGTAACTTGCCAACAAGGGAAGCAGATGCGGGCACCTGATACGTGGCGGAAATACCAGTGGTGGTTGGATGCGCAGATCGTGCTGACGAGGATCCACTAAAAATAATGCCTTACTCAAAGAAGAAAGGTTGCTATAGTTAGGAAAAACTAGATACTCACTCTGCTCGTTGTCCAGCAGCTCGCACTCCCAGATTGATTGGAACTCGACCTTTTGGATCGCTAGACTTCCGTGAGCCCGGTGTGACTGTCGATGAAGTTCCGCCGCGAGTAAACGATGCCAAATAATCTCTGTGACCTTCAGCAGCAGCTGCAGAAAAGAAAAGATATAGAATTAAAAACTTGCTCTACAAACAGGCGAGACCTACCAGCTTGATATGATCCCGGGACCATACTCATAGCTGCATGCCTGGAAGTGGGCTGCTGTCGCAACTGCACCTGAACCTGTCAAATTACTCTAGGAATGATCACAAAAGATAAGCAGGTCTCACCTGAGCCCTTGCAGATGACGCCGCTTGACCAGGTTGTTGTGCAGTAGCAGACGGCGTATCGTTCTGACTACTTCGCCTTGAAGACTGCTTTGGAAGAGCCGCATTAGCATTCAGGGCAGATGGCCCAGCCGTTGCTGTGGAAGTTTGCGCCGATGATGTGCGCGAATATTTGGAAGGCTGAAATGAGAACTGATGAAAAGACCTATCACCATAAGTGAATCTGAACCAAGGCTATACGTGTGCTACACCGTATGTTTCAGCCGGAGTTTGAAGCGCGGCTAGTTAGTGCATATGGGGTAGGTGGATAAGAAGGGAATAGACCGAGGATGCAACAGAGGCTCTTGATTTTTGCATAAACAAAGTCAACCTGTGCACTCTCACTGTATACAAACTCAGTTCATATCGGGCAGAGTTTGCATAAATCGAGCGATTGACTCTGTGATGGATGAAAAAATTCGTGACACTCACAATCACCTCACTTGAATAGTACGGACTTAGAACTTTGACAATGAAAAAACATTTGTTTGAACGAATGACATTTTTACGAATGCGGTGACACGGGGATTCGATTTAAGAAAAGCTCTGAAAACAGCAAATTCTGGACAAGCAGCTGACAGCTTAAGGGTGATAAAGACGTCAAACCAGGTGGTATAAAGGAGCCTGATATAGGAGAAAAATGTCATTTGAGCCTCTGTTGCACTCCAGTAAAGCCCAAAAGAGGATGAAATTTAGACGCGATGAAGCCGTTTTGTAAAATCCCTGAACATGCACCTATTGTTAAAAGAATATGTGTCACGCAGTCGGTCCCATATCATGCTTACGACAGCTTCTGTGAACACACTCATGCATCAATACATGCATAACACCCAAACACACAGATCACAACTGGACAGACAGCATCAATCTCTCACCGACTGCGTCGACGTCGCCACCGAAGCAGTATTGGTGCCAACAGCATGTGAGCCGATTCCCGATGAGACGTTGTGCGTTGAATGCGTGACGGCTTGTTGAGCCAGGGCTAGATCACCAGCGTCCATCTGCAGCTCACATTCAGAGACACCGAGTAAAACACGTAGGCAGCATAGCGTTGAGAAACGCGGACGTTTCGAATCATTCAACAAATCATAACACCGAAATTGCGTGCTTCCTATTTTTCTATTTGAAAGAACAGATAGAACAATATGCGATGCTGCTCTCGAAGATCGAAACGTCTGCGTTAGTATCAAAAATAGGCCTCACGAAATTCTTCGTGACCATAAAGTCTTAAGCAAATAAATGCGGAAAGATGCGAAAGGAACATTTTTAGGAAAGGACTGCAGCAATTTTGTAAGCGCCCTGGAAAGTTTGTCCTAGATCTCATATATTGTTCTTCCAAGCTAAACACTACCTGTAATAAACCCTATCAAACGATTAGATGGGTTCAAACTGTTAGTGGTAATTCTGGTATCAAAAGTGCAGGATAACGACTATCTATGCTTATTACCAGGAAAAGAATAACACGGTAAACTGTTAAGAAAAACGTCAGTCAAAAATAATAGATCCAAAACCAAGGTAAATGCGCTGACCTCACACTTCCGTTCACCCAACAACAGATATGTGGCATGGATATCTTCAAATTTCTCTTTCTCCAATGCATCCAGTATACTACCCTTATTGAACCCGAGCTAAAATAATGGTTAGCAAACAAGAACGTGTTGGAGTGAATGCCTAACAAACCTGAATCAATTTCTCTATCCTTGCTTCGTCTATTTGGTCCTTAGGAGGTTCGATATAAGGTTTCAATTCACCTTCATCCTCGTAACCAATGTTCATCCACCTAGAACGCAAAATGGATGGAATGCCACTTCTTAGCCACAACAAAAACAAAATGCTGTAGAATTCTATCAGTACCTATCCTTCATGATAGTCTCTAACGTTCCTCGTCGTGCAGGATTGAGAACGAGGAATTTTTTGAGCAGATTTTCACAGTCCGTAGACATGTAGAATGGAATACGATACTTCCCGCGAAGGACACGCTCTCGCAACTCCTAAAAACTCCAACATTTTCAGAGTCCTTCAATTTCAACACTTGAGGAGATCTCAAGAGGGTCTACTTCTTTCGAAAAAGATCGAGAGAAGTATGCTGCTCGTACCTTCAAGTTCTGCCCATCGAAGGGTAAACTTCCAGAAACAAGGGTGTAGAGAATAACACCCAAACTCCAAACATCAACTTCGGGACCATCATATTTCTTCCCTTGAAAAAGTTCGGGGGCAGCATAGGGAGGGGACCCGCAGAAAGTATCCAATTTATTTCCTGGAAAACAAAACATCTTAGAGCAAGGTAGAATAAGTAAAGTCTGCACTTACCTAATGTAAATTGATTGCTAAAACCAAAATCAGCTATTTTGATGTTCATATCGGCATCTAACAGAAGGTTTTCTGCTTTCAAATCTCTGGAACAAATTTTTCAGTACTTTGAACCATGACGGGAAAAGTTCTCAGACCTGTGAATTATATTCTTTGAATGTAAATATTGTACAGCTGAGACTATTTGTCGAAATTTAACGCGAGCCTCCTTCTCTTTCATCCTGCCATGTGCTACCAAGTAGTCAAACACCTGAGAAAGTTCCATTTGAGGAAAAAGCCTACGAATTCAAGACTCGTACCTCGCCACCAGATGCGTATTCAAGCACTAGATAGAGTGTTTGCTCGTTTTCCATGACTTGGTAGAGTTTCACTATGTTCGGATGATCAAGCTGCTTCATAATCTTGACTTCACGGAAAAGCTGAAAGACATGCATTTATTCGGACAATAAATACGTTAATCACCGATTTGTGGCTTAATTCAGGCTTTCCTTGACTCTCATCCTGATTTCCAGTACTCCCTCAAGTCAGACTCTCTTCTTTTCGAGAATTTCCCCTCCGTGGAAACATGTGTAAACCCAATAATATTATCAATCAATATGCCAACTGTTTACCAAACGTCTCCGACCCTCAATTTTACGGTGCCTTTATGACAACTTACTGTATCGAAAAAGCCCCACATCTAACGAACGAGTGCTGTCGAAGTGTTCGTCAATGCAATTCAATTACAGAGCGCGCGAGGGACAGGGTTTTTTCTACAAATCAATAAGCAAGTTTCCAAATTCATGTCCTTGAAAATTTAAGACATTGTATTCTAACATATACTGCGAACGCAGTCACGCATGGATCCTTCCTTTCGCAATCAGCAATCTTTTTCAGTGCGGACGCTGATGAATAAATGTGTTGGACTATAATCAATCAGTTCTGTTGAATAATTCTACAAGAGGAAGTATCATCCCAAGCCTAGCATACTCAGAAAAAGAGATAAGTTCAGCGAAGCATCGGATTTCCTCATGCAAGAATGCGTGTCAACAAAACAAAGATCATTAGTCAAACAGCTTTCACAGCCCATCGATTCCACATCAGCTTGTGCTCCGCATATGTCACTAGAGCGCAAAAAGGATCAGACTGCCACAGTTAACTCTTTCACACTTCTCAAGCAAACAGAAATGTAGCAAACTAGTTCATTAATACTCTAGACTATCACCGAAATTTCAAAATTATTCGACTGTAGAAAAAGGAAAAATGACTCACTTTTTGTAAGCTGCTAGGATTCAACGCTGTTTTGTCGATAATTTTGATAGCAACTTCTTGACCCGTAATTGTATGTTTGGCTAGTTTTACCTAAAAAAAGTTGCAAGTGGATTGAAAAAAAAAATTAATTCTATATAAAAAAGACTTGGAATTCAAACCTAAAACTAATACTCACCTTGGCGAAATTTCCTTTGCCAATAGTTTTGAGCAGTTTATACTTCCCAACATGAGGATCGTCGGGTGGTCGCCGTCCTCCGGATCGACTAGATGATCCCATACCCGCTGACGGACGCAAGTGAGACGCATGTTGCGATGAAGACCTATAACAGGTTAATGTAATACTCGTAACACTGATAGCACTAAGATTTCATTAACCAAAATGCTTCCTGAGCAAGGGTCTTATGTTTTTACAATTAATAGTGCTTATGAACGTCTGCGGCTTAAGCCGAGGGACATATAATCTGATTACCACATTGTATTCAGTACACTATCTTGTGCTGAAGAAGGAGCCTACAAAAAACGGCACACCATGAGATCGTTCATGTCATTTCCTTATCTCTTCACTGTGTATTAGCAGCAGACTAATGTCAAACTTCTATTATACAACGATTGCAAAGTGACCGTGATGCCAATTAATATTAGTTCTGAAATATCATTTCCGCAGTACTTCTAAGTGATGCCCAGGAGATTTGATTGAAATGAATTGGTGCTGTAGCAGAGAGAGCAAGTTGCTGAAACGAACCCATTCGATGCAACGATGGTTTTTCTGACTCGAGCAAGATTAGCAATCATGGCGGATCACATACAGCAAGAAAATTCCAGACAATAGTGTGGCAACAAGCAACTGCAGAAAAACCTCGTATTATCGACAATCACGCATATGTTTTGCTAGTTCCTCGGCTTGGTTTACAGCTTACGGGAGTCGCTTCGTGAACATCGGCGACATGGGGATGAGCGGCAGCAACAGCGGCGGCGGGGGAACACGAAAATAGCACATCTCGCCGTCTCCCAACTAACAACTTGGTTTACGAGGCACAGCTCTTCCCCGATACCAGGTGCAACCGCAACAATAACAGCGTAAACATCTAGGTTGAGATGATTGTTTTGTCAACAACTGTAAGAATGGGGGATGGAGGAAGACTGCCATAGGGCAGCACCGAAATCCCACATATTGTTTTTCAGTCATTAACGACACAGTGAAAAAGGCGCAAAAACTACCCGTTTGCACTACGCCGATACTGGGACTACTGTAGCTTTTTCATCAAATTCAATCGTAGCGTAACTGCGCTTTTTGCGCTTGCTTTTTACAATCTCCTAGTGTAAGACAGGCGATGGATTGCAGGAGAAGCACAATCACCACCCTCCTAAAAAACAGAATTTGCACCGCACCCTAGCAGGAAGAAATCTCATTTACACTTCTAAAGTACCTAATCCTGACTCATGAAAAAGTAATGGCAGCTGCAAAAAAAACACTTTGCTCTACATACAGATGCTGGTTTCTTCAAACATTGTCGTAACTTTTCCCTTAGTTCACATATCTCCTGCACCCCCCCCCTCCCAGAACTACACTTTTGTGGTTATTTGCATACAAAACGAATAACATGAAATATCAACAGACCCAGTGCCAGTATGATGAGAGCGGCTCGAAGAAGAATGTGGAGGCTGCGCCGCCCCAGAATGACGACTTGGCTGTGCAACAGCTCCCGGCGGCGGCGGCTGTGCTCCGTTATTCATTGCTGGAGGTGCACGAGGAATAGACGATGATGGCTAAAATAGAAATTTACAAGCGTTATCAAAACGAAAATTGAGTGCTGAAGTGATGTATCAATGAAATGACCTGTCATGTCTTTTATCTAAAGAGATAAGACGGAAAAACGTCAAAATGTGAAAATCAAACGCTGTTCTTTTGGAATATTAGCGTCTATGCAACTTTCGGTCTACATTACTCTTGATGCTGTAATTCGCTACAAGTTTCAAAGTAGACGCATAAGACTAGAAGCAGATCAAGTAGCTAAGTGTAAGCTACGAAAAAAAATCAACTGTAAACTTAGAATAAGAGCACGAACTCAGTAAGACGAAGTAACTATAGAAAAAGACAGGTACGAACCTTAGCGGTGATGGCAACTGCTTGTGTTTTCGGTGATTTCTTGCTACCAGAATTAGATGTCGACTTCGAGGACTTTTCTGCTGTCTTTGTTTCAGCCGCAGAAGGCGCACTCACATGCTCCTGAAATTAGAGCTAATTTTTTGTGTCTACCGCAAATGGACTGTGAAGGCCTTCTACTGAAAGCGTTCGAAAAATTCATAAGAAATATTAGCAGCAGCTAATAAAAACACATAGATACGAATTGTTAAATGCTAAAGCTTTTGTAAAATAAATCTGGAGATAAAAAAATAGGGCGCATTATTCATAAGCCACTTCATACGTCACAAATCATCCGACTGAATGGTAAGACTTCCGCTCCAACAGACATGAAAGAAGTGATAAGATGTCATAAAAAGCTTTCTCCAATACATGATTCACAACTGAGCATTTTGCAAAATGAGACAGACAAATCATTTGAGACATCTCTTGAGTATCTTATCAGATTATTGCAAAATAGTCTTGATGGAAAAGACAAAATTATCGAGGGATTATATCCTGCTCAATGACATACAAGGCCCTTTGGTCCACTTCACGAAAATTTGGAGCAGCTTACCAACATCGCCTTTGAAAAGGCATCACCATTAGAATACATTGAAATGTTCTTATAACCCATGTCCAAGCAACTATAAGTCAATTTTGAAAAGAAAAATACCACCAGTGCGCACCGTCTATTTTTCTCTTGACAAAAAAACGGTTACCAGTCGGTAGAAATCTTCGTTGATGAAACCTAACAGATTGTTGTCAACAGTTTGAAAAATATGAAGGTTAAGATGACACGAAGTACCAGCCAAGGAACATTAGCGGTTCGGTCAATAGAAGGAGGGAATCGATAACGGCCAGGTAGGGGCGACGACGGAGGCGATTCTGTATCGAGCGCCGCTGCCGCTATTAGACGACACAGTGTGTCCTAGTTCTCGATAAGACCAGTCAAACGACTCAAGAACCATTTCAGCAAAGTAGTTTCGTCGAAAGATTATAGGAACGAGTATCAAATAAGTGCTTACCAAGGTGACTTGATTAGAACAGATGGAGAAAGACTCAAGATGAAGAGAAAATAATGAAAAATACTTACGAAAATAAATATCAATTGAAAAATGGATGAATGTAAAAACCATGAAAAAATCGCACAATAAAATATAACGAATTCTAAATATCTATCGTGGCCAAAAACCTTTTATGATAAAAAATAGAGATTGAATTATCAAATCTTGTGGTAAAAATCAATTACTTTCTAGACAAGACTTTCTTATTCTAGACAGCCATCAATTTCGTAACCAACTACTTAGAATTCTAATGTCGATTAGGAATGCAAAGCTCCACCAATCGTCCGTTTTTATGTTGATTTGCCGATTCCTTGAGAAGCCATAACGTAAAAGAAGATAATAACTAGCACATTAAGATTAAGAATTACATGCCACTAGATTCGACTGGAGATGCAAGCTTCATAAATAGCAATTCATGGTTTTTCTTTCGGATTGCGCAGAGCTCTTTTGCACTTTTGATATAGGAGCCTGCAGGATCGCGAGAGTCGGACGTGCGTACGGCCATTGCGCAGCGCACGTCTGATGTCACTAAGGCAGGTGCCAGACTTACCCGATTCAACCGGTTCGTTCGGTTCATAGCTCAAATCACTACACTGTCCAACAGAAAAGATGGTGAACCGAATGAACCTGTTGAACAGGATAAGTCTGGCACCTATCCGAGTCATCGGACGCGCATCTGACGTGCGCCGCGCAATGGCCGTACGCACGTCCGACTCTCGCGATCCTGCAGGCCCCTATACATCAGCAAGCGTCGATTCAAAATTGGCGCTTGCTGATATATGCCTGAATTTAAACATCATTCTAGTGCTTCTCATACAAGTTTTGACCATCCAATTAGTATTCTGATTAACTTGCAGATGCAAGAGATTTCAAACTAACAGGCACTGACAACTAATCATTATGTCGTGAGAAATCTATAGTGATGCAACTATACTAAGTGATTGCTCAAGTCTAAATCTTCCCTAACTAATCATCTAGACCTCACGTCACAACAGATATTATCGTAAGTCACGGTTTTCAGCTGAGATCAACAAACCGAAAAGCTGAAACCCGTGCTTTTCGTTTTTACACTCACTATGCAGTCCGCTCTGACGGGCTGTGCCGTTTGCAACATAGGTGCGGATCCCTCAACTAGCCTACCCAAACGAGAGAATACGTCTGAAACACATAGGAGAACATTCAAAGATAGAAAAACGAACGGCTATCGAGGAAAATATGCTAGTCGACTCCATGAAAAGATTGATGGGAAGACTGAACAGGTTTGATGAGGATGGTGGTGCTGGAGAGTCGTGAAAAAAAGGAAGAATGAACTTTGAAGCCATCGCTAGTTATATAGCAATCAAGAATAGAGGGTTAGACTAAAAAGATGCTATTAGCAGTATCGCTAATCCTTGCAAGAGTGCTTAATTCTGGCTGACAAAGAAGATTTGAGATGAGCAAACGCAACGAACAAGACAGTCATTTCAGTACAAGAAGTTACTGGCACAGTCAAGTTTCAAGAGTCCGCAAAGACTGGAAAAACTGCGACTACTTCATGATTACGAGTAGCAGCAAGCGTCTAGCAAAAAGCAGACTGCACACTGGTGTGCACTACTGCATTAAGAGTGAGGGAAACTTGTTTATGACATCGAAAGAAGGTAGTGACTGACGAGAAGGCAGAAAGTATAAGAAATTACTGCTAGGAAAAGTGCGCAAGTGAAACCAGTACTGTGAGTGTTTGCAGAGCTGACGAGGGAGAGTAAGAGCTGGGAGGAGCAGAAAAAAATCACAACTCCCTCCCAAATATGCACGGGAGCAGTTGCATAGGGGCAGAATAGCTTGACCAGACAGTGGAATTCATTTTATGTGTGGCAATACATAGGTTATGTTTATGGGAAAAATATCAGCGCCCAAATTCATTATTAGGGTTACACATGACGCGAATTTAGATTACCTAGCTTACCCGCATCTATCGAAAATAATTATCCTTCAACCTTAGCAGATATTCACTACAACAATCTTTGAAGATTACGGCTACCTGCCCGGATATACCCGCTGAAAGCGGTCTACTGTAATGGCAGCTGACTGCACAAAAGATGCATTTGCAGAAAATACTTAGATTTTACTTTTATGTCCTCCAGACGCATTGAGAGTACTAAGCAAAGTGGTACTTGAAGTATGCTGCATAGTCAAGAGCGAAGAAGAGTTTTATTTCTCCGCTGAAGAACCTGCCTAAGCATGAAGAGTTGATTTACCAAAAAGGAATGAAGTTTTGTAAAAGAAGGGGAGAGACGAGTGGCACTAACTTGTCAGTAACGTGAAGCAAACACATTGTTGGAAAACAAATCTAAAACGGCTATCGCTGTCAAAAATAGCCACAACGAGCACGATTCGCAGCTCGACAAACAAATAGCTTACACCCGAGAACAATTCAATGCTCTCTCAGTCCAAGCTATGGGGCGGAGGGTACAATTTTAGAAGTACCGTTTCTTGACCTCGAAGCAGACCCTTGAACTGCCACAGAAGTCAAAAATAGCAAAAACTTGAGGTTATTGTAGGCGACCTAAAGAAAATAGACTTCAATCTTCCTACCCAAACTTTTAATATGCTATGCTTACCTAGGTACCCGCCATAGTTGATCCGTAGTCAGATCAGTATACTGCAACAACGAAGCGGATGTCCACTTGATTCACTGGTTCCAGTTCATCCAATTCCCTATTGGTCAGTTCGATTTGACCAACAGGGATACGGATGGAGTGAATCAAGTGGATCAAGTAAGCAAGTGCCTAAGATCAGCCGAAAATTCGCGAATCTAGTACTGCTTGCTGACTTTGAATATGAAAAAGAGCATCGCTGTATGGAAATGCAAATCCCATCTGACCGTCCCATTCTCTCCCTGTTAATCAATTCTTTCCATCAGCAGCATGAAGGAATCCAAATTTTGCCTTCGCTGATGTTTGTACAGTCCCAATCACAAGTCACAGATGCATAAATCATTCAGACGCCTGCACCAATGTGACCTTTTGGAGTGTATAGACGGGTGGCGGACTGGGAATGATGATAAAGGAAGGAAATCAATGCATAGAAGATGAATGGCATCTTCGCCATTATTCTTCTTCTATGACAGATGGAGATGTTTGACTACTTTCTGATATTGATATGACGCACTGATAATAAGGAACCAGTGACTGCATAAAGCAGTTTGTAGTAATGCTGGTTTATGACAAACAAAAAGATCGAAGCTGTGAGTGATCAATAAGATTACAAATTTTGATGGATTTTCGCGGGACTACACAGATCGTACTTTTGAATGAGGCTTAGAACGCTTTTGTAAAGAATGAAGTGTTTGAGCCTTTAGCTTGCAAAAAATGAATCAAGACGTAAACTCAATCATTTCCAACTGCTGCTCCCCATTAAATACATTTTTTGCCAAAAATAACTGACGAAGAAGCACGGCCGCCATTGTGCCGAAAAAATGGTGCTGGGTGCCTCACTTCATTTTCAATGACATGGAATGGGGAACATTGATGTCAAAAAAAAAAAACTTCCAATCATCTATCGACATTTCAGCAAAGAAATGAAGAAGTAGATACAAACAGGAACCAACTACTATGGCTACCAATTGAAAAACCTTTGAGTAATGTTGGCCATCTAAACATCTGACCAAAGCCACAACTTCCAACTCTGCTTCTCTGAATCTATTTGCATTCAAATGACTTACTATTCATAAATTCAAAGGTTCCTACATTTAATAGTGCGCCAAAATCTAAAGCTTGCAAGCTTGATTTGCAATGCATACTTCTTTTTCCCAAGCAACAATAATCTTCAGCAACAAGCTTATGTTTAACACAAAAGACCGAAAGCTCAGAATGTCCGAATTAAAAGCTGTTCCCGCGATAGCGCAAATTTGGCACCGAAAATTGAGCAAAGTTAACTTCACTAAAAGAATATACAAATATCCTGGACGCTGAGAACTGCTGATGCACTACCGATGTTTTGCTCTCCAAAATCAGAGCTTAGAGATGGAAATGAAATAATATATTGATTTGAATAAAAATT